TGTTTGTGACCAATGAATTAGATAAACTGTGACCAATAAACACCTTGTAACCAAAAAATTATTAAATTGTGACCAATAATTTGCTAAATTGTGACCTAAAATATAATATATGTTCAATTAATGGGATGTTTGTGACCTAAATAAGTATTGTGACTTATAAATTTTGTGATTTGTGACCAATGAAAAATTGTGACTTTCAAATTTTTAAGTTGTGACCGATGAACAAATTGTGACCTATGAAAATTTTGAATTGTGATCTAAAAAATTTTAAATTGTGACAAAATTGTATAGATCTGTGACCTTAAAATATTCGCCGGAATCGGATCAGTCGCCGGAAAAGTCGCTGGAAAGGTCATCGGAGAAGAGTGGTGACCGGAAAGGTAGTCGGAATATCTCCGGAGTTGGGGGGGTGGTGGAGGTGGGGGTGGATTAATTATTTTATAGTAGAATTAAATATTAATAATAAATTAATTTAATAATTATTATTTCATAATTAAATTATAAATAAATTTTAATGAAAACCTGATTTTTGAAATTTAAAACTTCAAACCTTAATTTTGAAATGGTGATACTTAAATACCTTATTTATGTATTGTTCCCATATTCAAATTACAAATATAGAAATGTAATAAAATTAGTCATTGCTAAGATTGTGGGTATCTTGGAAATGTCAATTAGGACAACCTTTTTTACTTTTATAAAACATCAATAGGCTTCTTGCTAATATTGAGCAATTTGAAAATATGTTTTGGACAGAAATTATCCCGTGTACGCATGATAACGATGATGGCGGGAGAGCAGGATGGGTGCATGAAAAGTTAGGGACCCAGACATTAAACGTTAAGGTATGTGGCTACATATCATGTCTCGTAGTGCGGTGAGAGCTAGATGGGGACTGAAAAGTTAGGGATGCAAGTGTCAATGGCCTTAAATTTAAGGTGCTGCAGCTACAAATCATGTATCGTAGAGCGGCGAGAGGGTGGAATTGGGGGCTGAAAAGTTATGGACCCAAATGTCAATAACCTCAAAAGTTAGGGACTGGCCCTGCGATGAATTATCCCTGATGAAGTTAATTGTTTAATGAGGTAAAGGGCGGCCGAACAACTGTACAACGTTTAATCTTGATCACTGTCTAATGGGATGGAAAAGGATTCAAACCACGTAGCACAAAAGTTTCTAACGGATAAAATAACGGCTTTGGAAGATTATCCCAGTCATACCAATCCCAACCATCACATTTCTCGGGCTCAAGATTGATGGGCGTCTGTTCAGGATCTGCCATCACCGCACGCATGAGGATGGCAATCAACTGAATGGGCTTTGGTTCTGAAAGGACATTGTTGGTGACAGTGAGAAACTCAATTTCTGTGATGTCCAGCCCAGTTTCCTCCTTAATTTCTCTGGCTGCACATTGCTCAAAGCTTTCTCCTGAAAGTAAGAGAATGAAATACGGAACTGATAAAGTGAAAAAGAAAATAAATAAGTTTAGCTTTTTCTGGGGAATGAAAAGGGTGCATTCAACTCCAGGTTCAGAGTTTTATGTCAACTAAAACGATTGCTGTTATCTTGTAGATATAAGGACAATCTACTTCACAAGTATTTTCCTGATCTTATTTGTGAACTTAAAGAACAGGTGACAAACTACGTCTCTTAACAATCCTAAACTCATGTCAAACATATACCCTGTTTTACATGATCGATATTTGGACTGAACTTCCCCTAATGAGTGAAATGCAGTATCTCCTGCTTTATACCCTATCTCCATCCTTACCCTGACTCCATTCAGTCTTTTTTTAGCAACATCTGATGTACATGCAACAGAGTGAAGTTTTAACTTCAGTTCAACATTGACTCGTCTCTCAGACATGATGTCAAGTACCGGTAGAAGATGATTCTTTTAGGACAGACGAGCAAAAGAATTTTTATGGCTATTGAAACGACTCTAAACTTAGTTAAAAGTCACATCTTATTGTCATCAAATTATTAAATTATTATCAAACCACACTGCCATTGAAGTGACCTCTACAATCTCGTGAAACATGACTTCACTCAGTTTTCCCTTTGCAGTAAATTCTAACGTGCACGAGAAATTGTCAGAACTGTGTGAAAGAAGATATATAGATTCATTTAAAGGTCTTCAATATTTTCTCAAAGAAAATGACATGGGTGATGCACAGGAGTATACAACTTGAGAAAATATTGTAATTAAGACTCATGGAGCTCAGACATTACTAAAATGATAACCCCTCTTCTATCTGATCATTTGTAGAAATTTTAAGTTATTTTTTCCCATCATATAAGAATTAGCACCCTGAGCATTTGGGTGTATAAGGATAGACTGACTCAGTCAACCCAAAAAAGGAAAAAAAAATCCTCATATTTTTTGACATTTAAGCAAAGGTTGTTGTGAAGTGAAATAAACAAAATCATTTTTATTGAAAATCGAGAGAAAATGTTGATTTGTGGAGTAAAATGATATATTAACTTCGCCAAAAGAACACGATATATATTCTCCCTTCATTTTACTATTTTAAATATTTATGTTTTATTTTCTTTAGTTATTCGTGAAATACTCAGACATTCCAATGAGGAACTGTTCAGTCCCCATGAGATGCAGGAATGATCAAATCTGTACCCATGCATTATCATCCACCATGAGTGGAGTCAACTGATGGATATGACTAGAATGATAGAGATGTCAACGCAACGAAAATTAGGAACTACATAAAATATTTGGCGTCTTATGATATGCTCTTCTCAGCATGTTCTCAGAGCACTTCAACTCAATTTACTAACTATTTAGTGTGAAATTTGTAGGATGGATAGATCCATTCACAAACTGTTTACTGACATAGACTAGGACATCAGTAATACAACTCAGGAGAAATCATGCAAATTAACAGAATCATTCTTTTACGACCCTCAACTTAAGAAATTAATGTCACTTAGCCCCTCTCAAAAGAGGAGTCATGGGCAAATTCACCTACAGAAGGAGGAGCATCCAAATGGAATATAGTACTAATAGGCTGAAGTCAAATAAACAGTAAAAGAGCATATTCACTACTCTTAACACATCTTTCTTTAAACAGCCCTAGAGCATGTTTGGCTTTGTCTCTATCTACAAAAGAAGCTACTTTTTTTGCCAACATTGGCTTAAAATTTTATCTTCTCTCGGCAGTAAGAGTCTTACTTACTGCCGACAGAAACAAGTTTTTGTTCCCTATATATGTCTAGATGAGCGCATTCAATAGTTCTCCATCTTAGAAGAGTCTTCCCAATATTACATTCCACATAAGTTTTTTTTCCCAAATCAATCTTTAATTCAAAAAGCAAGGCCGATACCCCGTCCATATATTTCCAACAAAGGAAATAGAGTATGGGCCGTGCCTTCACCGTCTTCGAGCATTTGCCCGAGGGAGTTAGGGGAAGCAAATGGTCCTTTATTGAGTTCCTGTTGCCATGGGCAGTCTCAATCTTTCAAGAATTTGGTCAAGCAATTACATTTTAACATTATCAAACACATCTATAAGTTAACCTAAAAATCTGCTAATCTTTAACCACAAATTCATCTTCATATAGAAATAACATTGATCATAACGATTTCTACCTGAAATTGTAATTTAATTATTTAAGACTCTCCCAACACAGTATAGTAGCAATAAAAATAATGATAAGTGCAAAATGTAAAAGGACGTTCATTGACTAACCGAACTCGAGGTGGCCGCCGGGAAGGGCGAATGTGTTGCTCCCAACGGCGGTGCGGCGGCGACCCAGTAGCACTTTATTGCCCTTCAGCAGGAACACCCCCACCCCCAATACTGGCTTAGGTAGTGATGCCATTATGATGGAAGTGGCAAACTGTGCACACAAAAGGGCAAATGTGTTAATAACGTGAGCACTAAAACGAAAAAATAAAAATATTATTCTTTATGGCTTAAAATTTGTAGGGGTATTTTCAAGAATGTCCACAATTAGGAGTGTGAGTTGAAAAGTGTTCAATTTTTAAATTTAATATTAAAGTGTCTATTATGCCCTTAATGAAAAAAAAA